CCTTCCAATCTCTAACATTCTGTGATAATTTGAAGTCACAAAGATACCCACACATTGAATACATTATTATACGTTTGTATCTTCTTCAACTTCATTAAATGCCATATGCTTCCTATTTCATCCTCTCGCATCTTCATAGAGAGAGCCATTTCACACTTACAGTCTAGAACTTACAGATCTCTCTGCTTCCAGAGCAGAGCAGGAGAAGATAACTGGTAGAAAGAGTACACTTTCATATGACTACCAAAAATCACACACTTTGAAGTAGCCAGTTCCTACTGCAATTCCTGATGTACAACGCAAGACCGACACGGCCATCCAATACTTGGAGTGTATTGCTATGGGATATGCCAAGACAAGGCAAGGATGCAGCATCCACCGATTACAGCCCAAATGTTCTCAGATTATTTTTCAATATATTCATCATTATGATCCTTGCTCCACAGATGAAAAGACTTCCACTATTCTTACTGAATCACGTGCTACACTTTTTTTAGGCTTGATGGCATTTCCCAAGCAGTTTTCTCTACAGAAACAAATACACAACAGCACTTGTTTTGTTTAGCAGCAATCTGAAGACAAATCAGCTTCTGCCACCCCCCCAACCACCAAAACTCTAGAACTGATTACCACGGTCAAAGGGGAAATGTGAGTGTTTATGATAGGTAGTCTTCCCATTTAAACTGCCTTGGTTCTCTTTCCGCCTTTTAAATTTAGAAGCATGCTACAGGACACTACAGGATCCAAATGGGGTCTGTAACAGAAGTGGTGCAAATACAAAAATTAGTACTTAACCATCAGAACAATCTGGAAAAATACGGAAGTGCAAGATACTTGTTCAACGAGACACACACTCCTCGAAGCAACCGTCCTTGACAGTTCTTGTCTTTTTTTTGGAAGACTGAATCAGAGAAGCTTATTGGAAACCCAATACGGTTTGCATATAGCTGTAAACAATCTTTCACAAGAGGTCTCCAAAGGTTCATTGCAAACAGCCCTTGTAGTTGGGCATATTAGGAAAGCCAGCACCTCTAACTTGATCTAGAATTTCTACTTAAGCTTGCAGCAACCTGCCCCCTTCAATTAATTTCATTTAGCTTCCCCAAGACATCTTTATTGCTGCATGTGTACTATTAGAATAGGTTACTACAAAAAAGTCTGCAGTTCCCCTTATTTGTGCACTATGAACTCCCATTTTCTTCAGCTCTAAACAAGAGCAAGAAATTGAAACCCTTTAAATCCTTTAAGACCACACCACAAATGATGGTCACAAAAAATTTTTTTTTTTTTTAAATTTAACTTTGACTTTCCTGAGAAATCAGGAAAACTATAAACAGCAGAAATAAGACATTGAATCTTAATGAGTTAGGTGACAGCTATACAGCCATCCTGCGCACACAACTGCAGGTTCTTTGTGAATACGTAGCTCAGTGTATTTCCTGTTTAACATAGGAAGAACCAAAGCTCCTGACATAGGAAGAGTATTTATTAACATGAAATTCAAGTATATTAACAAGAAAATCACATTTATCACCTTGTTTAGTGAAATCTTACTTAAAACTACTTTTCCTCTTGATTTCTGTGTTCCATTTCACTTATACAATCAAAATCAGTTTAACTCTTCATGTTCTTCTAGCATGAGAATAGTCCTTCCGTTGATGTTGACAATATTTGGGCTTTTAAGGCATGGAAGTATCTAAAAACAGGGGGCAGAAGCTAAGCTTCCAGGTTTTTTCTTAGCTTTTTTTATGACAATAACACTATTTAAATTAGGGCCTGGAGGAGTTTGCGTGTGTTTCTTTTTAAATCACAAGCCCTGAATTTGGAAACTAATCCTGTAGTTCTGCAGTGTGCCTCTTTTCAAAGTATTCCAGCTAACGTAATATCATAAACTCTCACATCAACCATTTTTTCCTTAGAAAAACTCCAGAGGAGAAGCAATTTATGCTTATTTCCTTTCCGTGCCACCTTGAATATAAGCATGCTAATTAAACCACAGAGGTTTTTTTAAAAAAAGGCTGTGAAATTTCCCAGCTAATTCTGCCAATTCAGTGCTGCTAATGCAAAGCAAAATCTTTTCAGAAAACAAGCCGTTGTAGAATACGGTAACAAAGAAAACAATGCTGGCTCCAATATAATGAACATGTAGATGGTAGTCGTGAGATTCACATTTTGATGTCTGTTCTCTGCCTTTATTTCCCCACTGTTAATTTTAGGAAATTAATATTTCTCACCTAGTACCTTTGGTGGTAGATAAGCACACAGCACCATTGAAACGATTTTACCTTTTTCTGTATTGCTGTCCTACAGTATCAACATTTTGATAAGACAGTAACACTTGTCAAGAACTTACCATGCCATTTGCCTTTGTAAACTGTTCCAAAAGAACCTGACCCTATTCTGGTAGAAAGCATGACTTCACTTGCTTCTATTTCCCAGTAATAACTGGAATCTCTCTGTCCACGAGGCCTCTGGAACAAAAATTGACATGGCTTTAAGTATTTAATCACATATATTACATATACACATACCAAGAATGAAATAACTTCCTTCATAGAAGTTTAAGATGCACTGAAACCTAGAGGGTTTTGCCCTGCAGTTTGGACTTTTGTTTTTCTCCTCAATTTGTGACGGGTGGTGGGTTGTTTGGGGTTTTTTCTTAATCAAAAGACAAAACATTTTCTTGGGTGCCTTTAATTGCTTAAGAAGCTATAATTAAGTTCTGCCCTAAAAACTTAAATTCTGATCTTAGATCTTAAGAGGAACAAAACACTTTATAATCAACTATTTAAAGACATCCAAAATACTCAAGAAACTTATTGACTTTTTCAAAATTACAATACTAAAATACAGGAACTCATTTACATATTTAAAGGAAATAAACCAAAAACATGAGAGCAGAATTCTCAAATGTCTAAGTGATTAACTGTGAGTTCCACTAAGCAACTCTACTTTTATTTTTAAATCTTAAAAGCCTTCAAAAATTTGAGATATCATTCATTATCATTCTAACTCATTTCTTCCCCACCCCCCAAGTTTAAAACAAGCCTTTGAAGGAAAACTTACATTTTGTTAAATCTATTTTTCCCGAGACATTTTGACTAACTTTACTATGAAAAAGATGGCATTATCAATGTCCGTTTTTTATGGCAGCTATAGCAATACAGTTCAAATAGGGATAAAAAGGCTAACTTTAAACATAGCCCTGAAGATTTAAACAGGTAATCCTTGTACTGAAAAATAATTTCTATCTTTCCCAAGTCAGTCAAAATTACACAAAGTGCAAAGCAACCCAAGATGACCATCAGCTTGTATTGCCTTTTAAGTACAGAAATTTACCCCAACATACCACTGCTCACAGCCTCGTTTAATACGTTAAAAAAAAAAATATTACCATACTCACAATTTTGTTTTTTTCTTGTGTATTGGATCCAGGGGCTCGCTCTCTTTGGGCTGGGACTGGTGTTTTGGGCTGAGACCAGCCAGTGGGGCTCATATTGTTAGGACTTCCAGACAGAGCAGAGGGTGAAGCTTAAAAATAAAATTAAACACAAAAAAAATTATGAACTAGAAAATAAACACAAAATAATACTATATATTCTTTTATTTTTCGAAACCATACCTGATTCACTATGGCTTCGAATTGCATCCTAAAACAGAGGAGATAGATAATAAAATTAATAAATATATAAGAACATATAAAGGAACAAGCAGGAATAGCGTTGAAATTGTTCCTGACAGTTTTGGTCAAGCATGATACAGTATTGACCAACACCCTCCAAAAGGTGCCAGCTCGGTTATTTTCTAGTTACAAGAATCCTATACGCTAAAAAACATGCAATTTGTGAATTCTTACAAAACATCAAAAATATTCACAGCTTATTAAAAGGAATTGCTACCAAAATAAAGAAAGGAGGAAAAAAAAAAAAAAAACACAGAACAAGTCTGCATTCCCAACACTGGATTTCTGTACATGCTTGTATTTCTGCTCTGAACATAGCTCCTCTGACAGTCCGGTATCTCTAGGGGATAAGTTCTCAAAAAGGTTTTGGGTTACAACTATGAAAACTTTTAAAAGCCCCTAAAATACTCCAAATCAATATACATTTTAAAATATCTCTACCGTACTATTTCAACCCAAAAAAAAAAGGCTACATCTTGTGCCCTAACACAAAACCATCTAATTTTCAGAACAGTTTTCCACACATTAAAGTTCGATGATATTTGAAAAGCATGTTCTTTCACAGGTCACTAGTTCGTACAGTGCAACAACTCTCACCTCATGCCACAGGCACTTTACAACACAATTCTACAGCCATGCACAAGATCAACTAAGCTCTGACAAACACGACTTCACAACCTTTCTCACCTGCTATGTATTATCCCAAAGTACATACAGGAAAGGTAAAATATCCAGGTACTGTGTAAGTACAAAGCAAGAACATGCACTACAGAAATGTTAAATACTGTCAGAGTTAATAGAAGTCAATTCAAACTTTCTAACTAATTAGTAGAATAAGAAAGGTAAGATTTCATAGGAGGACAGAGCAAGCCTACATTCCACCATACAGTTTTCAAATGAACTCATCCTCAGTAAAGATTCATCAATGAAATACATCATTTTAGCTAGTTAGTTGCATTCTCCCAGGCTTGACTCTGTATACAGTATTCTTGCAGACCACCCCTACTCTACACCCAAGCGGATTAAAATCTGCTTTAACTACAAAAGAACTTTGCAAGTTACTACTTTTATCCATTTTGAGGACAATAAAAATCTTTTAGAACCTGAATTAATAACAATTGATGGTTTTTGTACACCAGCCTGAGAATGTAACTGCTTTCAAGTAAGCTGGCAAAGGATAAGTAAATAATTGAAAATTGTTCTCGTACTTATGTATGCATAGTTCTTTCTTAAGAAAAAAGCATTTTTGAACTTCAACCCTGATCTGAATATTTTATCTTTTTACTTATGAATCCTACAGCAAATGAACCAAAAACAGTAAGAGTTGTTCTTACAACACAAATAATATCATACACAGTGCTGTAGTCTTGTCACCTTTATTTTGATGTGAAATAGAAATTGTAGATCATGTTCTTAATCAAAGAATTTTGTACAGTTATATTCAACAAAACAGTTTCCAGAGAAAAAAAAGCCACACGATAGATGTGTTTGAGGAGTTTTCCTTTAAAAGACTGTGCGGCCAAATGGATCTCTAATCCAAGTCTATTCAAATTCACACCAAATTTCATAGCAGTATGGATTCATCTAGCTAAACTAAAAATGAAGGTCTTCTATCAAATTTGCCTCCTCCAATTATCATCCTCAATATTTAAGTATAAACATGCTATAAAGGTTTTTATCAAATCAACTCCAGATTAAACATTTCATGTGGACACTGCCATGGCTTACAAGTTATAGCAATCCTGTTAATCACAAGAAAACAAAAGGCACCAAGAAAATACCTACTCTTCCCCTCAAACAAAATCGTCTGCACCAGGAACTGGGAGAAGCATTCAGGCTGTTATTCTAGGCCAACACAGTATGAGATAAAAGAAAAGAACAGAGGAAGTATAAAAAAAATTTAAAAAAATTAAATGTTAGGATAAATGAAGGAGAAAGCAACCTAATTTGTTTGATATATGATAATTAAGTGCAGTAAGACTTTTAAGTAAGCATTCCTGTTCAAACCCAAAAGTTCACAAGTATCCATTCTTTGTAAAACCACTTTATTAAGGTGATCTTTCTCACCTCATACTAGAAGAGCTCTACTACCTTTCTCTGTGGTGTGGCTTTTTTAAACTTTTTTTTTTTTTTAAAGCCTTTTGGGAGACCAGCTATTGCCTATAAGACATGGCAGCTGTTTTTATTTAGTCCCAACAATATTACAGAGATTCTGAATAGAAAGCATTTATGTCTTCACTGCTATGCACAAGGGATAATGCCTCCTCAAAGGCTCATCACACTACAGTTAAATAACTCATACTCTCTTTCTTGAGTGCTTCCTTATTTTTTGTGCCATGAAAGATGGTCAGCCAGGCTTCAGAAGCTGTAAGCCTTAGAAAACCAAAGGGAAAGGGAAGGCACCTTTCCCCATAAAAGCCAGCTGACACAAAGCTCCTAATCAAAAAAGCTTCACAGGGAGGCAGTGCACTTTTCTTCAGTTCCACCAAAGGTCTGGAGGACTTCTCTAGCACATTTCAGAGAGTCTTCACATTTCATAGCAGCCCATAAACTACCAGCTGAAGGCGCAAGTAACCTCAACAATCAAAGGCTTTTGCTTAGCCTAAAGAGTTTTTAAACTATCCAGAGAAAAAAGCCCAACAAACAGTGCCCTCTCTGAAGTCTTGCAGTTCAGCACTTTCTGCAAGCCTTTCCTGCACACCACTCCCTTATGTTGTTAATGTTACCACAAAACAAACCAAAAAAAAGCCCCCACTTCAGGCCTGACTTAAAAGAATTGTCTCTTACTACTGCCAGTCTAAGGTAGGAAAAAAAAAAAAAGAAGGTGCCTGAAAGCAAGTAACAGCAGAAATATTCACAGATACAGATGGTTTTCTCACGTAAGCCCAGAATCGTTGGTAATTCTGTACAGGTGTAACACAAAGATATCACCAGTAAGCTTTGACTTAAGTATTCCAACTCCAAGAACTACATCCAGACTTACAGTGCCTGAAGTCTGATTTAAAATAAACACCAGCCCCCCCCAACAAATCTGGATTTGTAAGTTTAAAAGAACATTTTAGACATGCCTAATAAGTATTTCCTCAGCAAAACTGAGCTTATTTTCAGATCTGTGAAACTTGATTGTTAAGCTCTTTCACATCTTTACAGACACCACAAGTCTACCTAGAACTTCAGCAAAGTTGATGAAGACTGCAAGTATGAACTATTAACTTTCTATGCAAATACATCACCTACATTCCTTCATCTCTCACCCAACTAAGGCAAACAGTAAGCAAATGACAGAAAGCAAAGAAGAAGAACCAACCAGTGACTCTTAATCAGTCAGTCACAGTTGGAGTTTAACTTTATGCTATTCCTTCCCTTCCAACATTACCTCAATTATCCGGCTGTCTACAGGCATTGTAGTGCTAACCATGTGGACATTTGGTGTGGATGTAGACCGCTGTCTTTGGGAAAGGGAGCCCTCAGAGGAAGGATTGGATGTGTTGAACGTGAAGGCATGAGGTGTAGAATACCTGTGCTGGGAACTGAGAAGGAAAGAGAGAGAAAGGGAAAGTTATGGATATTTTTTTCTCCTCTAGCAGTTGAAAAATACTCTTCAGTGTAACCTATTCAAAAGCAACACACACAGAACTCCAAACACAAAAAGTTGGGACTTACACGCTAACCACAGTATTTGGTCAGCTGAATCATTCCCAGTTTAACTTAGGAAAGCAATTAAAAAATCAAGTAAAATCTTGTCAGTTCACATACTCATCTAGTGTGTTTAACATAAGTCTGCTTCTGCCATTACAAAATTTACCTCAATCCCCAGAAAATCACATTCAATATACTGATAAAATACTGTCTCTGCTGGATTAATTCAGGTCTGTGACATTTAAACAAACCGCTCATTTCAAGCCTGCGATGCATAGCTTAAGAGCTACTTTTACTGTTAAGCCCTGACTTTGTAAAGGTTTGCAAGACTGTTCAACGGCTCACACAGAACAGCCAGCAAGGAAGTCATGAAACCCAATACAAAAAAAGGAGGCCAATGTTAAAATCCAGTTGAACAAAGAGTTATAAATCACAGTTAAGGTCAATCAAACCCTGTTTATCCCAAATCACAGAAGTCTCCTAAGTGAAATCAGCCAGCCCTCACAAAAAGCTTAAAAAACTATCAAGTTCATGAGTCATTGCTCAACAACCCTGGAAACAGAAGATGGCAAAGAGAACATAAAATCAATTCCCAGTGGAGTTCCCACGAAAATAAATAAATAAACACAGAACCATTTGCAAGTCAGCTACATGCAATGTGCCTCGTTCCTGAATAGGCCAAGATTTTTCAAAGGGATGCAGAAAAAATAAAAGATGGCCTGCCCTCTTCAGCCTCTGGAATTTCAAGGAAAAAATACAGGCACAAATCAGGATCAGAAGACAGGCCCCTTTGAAAGGACAGCAATTTTTATTCTAGCATTTAAAACTACAGGAACTTTCTCTTTAGGTCTCAGAGTTTTCTTTAAGATAAGCATATTTTCAGTTTCCACCATTCTCTCTTTAAACTCTTATCTGTCACCATAACATTAGAACGTTATTTTAGTTTATGTCTATAAGTCATGCAAAATGAGTCATGAGCCCTTATAGGTATACTACCTGATCAGATGAAATAAAATTAATTCACAAAAATACCAAAGAGAGCCTTGAATTTTCTTAGATAGGAAAACAAAGGTCTCCAGAAAAAACTCATCCCTTAAAATCTTATGACTAAAAATTAAAAACATAAAATCCCAAATCAATGTTTTGCTTGAATCTAAGAACAAGAAAGGACACTCCATATTATTTATGATGAAGTGGTGCTGCTGCCTTGCACATTTATCCCAACCTTCTATCTGATTGTTCTATTTTTGAGGAGTTGGGTTGTTTTGTTTTTTGTTTTTTCTCTCAAACAACTGTATTTCCCAAAACAGAAATGACAGGAAATACTAGCTTACCTAACAGGTATCCGGGAGACAGACTCCCGCATCCGTCTCATTGTCAAGGGAGGTAGTGCAGGGACACCACTGTCACTGATATTTGAATTTGGGAACAATCTGAAATATCAACAAAAACAATTACAATTTCAACTGCCACACTACCTCCTGTACAATGCTCTTTAAAGCTGGAAATTTAAAGGGCTGTTTCTTTTCAGCATAATTAATTAACACATTCCTATCTTTACATAAAATTTTTCCTCTGTGTATGGTACGACTAAAAACTATGTCTTCAGACTCCCAAAGAAAATTTCTATGTGTTCTTTCTAAACTTAAGATACAAATCTTTTTATATCAGCCTTCAGATTCTCCTCAATGAGCATTCAAGATAATTTTAAGTTCTATTAAACCCAGGTAGCACCAAGTGGCACAAGTCGTAGTCAGTATAAGAAAATGCATGACTATATGACCAAGTTCAGTTATAAAAAAATACAATCACTAAGACACATAAAATCAATTATAAGGTTTAACTCTTTTGCACAAAAGGACTACTTCTAACATAATGATTTTCAACTTTTTCTAATCAATATTAGGAAAGTATTTTCCTTCATCAGTTTTCTCACCATTCGATGCATTTTCAACAGTGTGTCAAAAGTAGTACTAGTTCTGAACACTCATGCATACTTCCAGCAGCTAAAAACCAACTGAGTCATGACCTTTTTTTCTCCTAACAAAAGTGTTACGTGAGAAGAACTATTACGCCTTCTCATGTTGAAACAGAGGGCATAATAGCAACTGCCTGGTCATTCAAGACCTTTGTTGACTTGTTCCAGAATACTGAAGTCTACAAGAAGAACAAAATGCATTCAATGTAAACGGCCTTCTTCACCTGGGAACAGACAATCATTGCTGGCTGTTTTATGAAATCAATACACACGTTCTGTATATCGATGACAGTGACTACACTTCCCAACAATCCAAATTTTTCTCTGTCTTAAGAGACTAAAAAAAACCATGCTTGTCTGTCACAAAGAATTACTGCTGCTATTGAAAAGGAACAGTCCTTACAAGAGTTGCCTGATATTGCTCCAGTCAACACACATGGTTGGAACTTTAGTGCTGCAGTGTTCGTGGAATTTATAACCGCATGTCTGACACCGAAACCCATTTAGCAGGAACTTCTGGCAGATGTCACAGAAAGCAAGCTTTAGAAATGTCTTCCGAGCCTAGAAAACACATTAAATTATTAATCCAAGCTACTAGCTTCTCTTCATTAGCTGAGATGAACATCTTCAGAGCTTGACATAAGTAAATACCATGTTAAAATGTTATGAGTGTTCCCAAAGTGCTACTGAAGTTAAAACCAGTATTCTTGCATGTATTTCCAGTTTGGTTAGAAACCTGGAAAGCTTGCAAACATTTAGGACTTTGTTTACATAATTATTTGAAAAAAAAAAAAAAAAAGAGGAAAAAAAAAAGGAAAAGTGTTCTGTCAAATTCAAAAGCACTATTTTGTGCTCAGTAATGTGACAGAGTTGGGTGGGCCAAGAATTGGGGTTTTTGTTTGGTTTTAGTATCACCAAAACTGAAGGAGGATCAGATGGTAAGAACCATCTAATTTTATTAGTCAAAACACTTGTTGTATGTTTATGACTAATCAATAACCCTTGCATAAGAAAAATTCCTTAGTAAATAAAATAGTTTAAGGGAATTCTACTTTTCTTAAATGGCATCTAAGAAATTTTTTAAAGCTCCTAAAATACAAAAAAAGATTAAAATGAAGCCAAGGGTTTCTTCCTCCACAGTGTACTGTGGAAGAAGGCTCAAAGTTTGAACTTCTTCCAGATCTACAGAAAAATATTCATTTTCTGGTGACCAACTGCAGACTATTTTATTTGTAGTTTTCTAAAAATGTAAAGTAGAAGCAAAGCTACTTTCAGATTTTGTACATCAATCCTAACCTTTCTAATGGATGTAAATAATAACGCTTTAGTTTTGCCACTTGGCACGATATACTTCTCGGACAAAACAACACCAAGGCTAGAATATAGGCATAGAGTTCCTTTACAGGGAGAAAGAAATAATGCAAGGTAAAACTGTTAGAGTTAGGCATTATCTCTCTGGGAAAAAAAAGGGGGGGAAACAGAAGGGGGGGAAACAAGGAAAACAAGGGAAAGAAGGAAAACAAGGGAAAGAAGGAAAACAAGGAAAACAAGAAAACAGAAAAAAAAGAAAAAAAAAAAAACGAAAAAAGAAAAAACGAAAAAAAAAAAGAAAAAAAACCCAAAAAACCAAAAGAGAAAAAGAGAAAAAGAAAAAAAGAAAGAGAAA